CTCATTTGGTTTGAAAGTGTATCCTATCCTTTGAATTAAAACTTCAATATCAGTATCTTTTAGTCTTATTCTTTCTACCATTCTACAATATGACATTTTGTCACAATGTTCATTTAAAAGTCTTCCCACACAACATTTCTCTGGCATTTTTTACTAATCGGAAAATGTTAAAATCAAGGGTTAAACATGTAACTACTGAGTGACCAAAGCCCCAGCCCCAGCCCCAGGTAAAAATGAGACTTTTTTCAAACCCGGCTCTGACTAAACTATAAAATTTAGCAGGGGTTGATAGCCGGGGTTAGAAAAAAATTTATAATACTTTATATATTATAATTTTATGCTTACATTTACTATTTATTAAATGCTAGCATAAATTTATATATTTTCAAACTCTCATTTAATTCCAACAAGATTGCAAGCAACCACTATTAAGTTATGAGTTTTAAAACTTTAAAATAGAGAATAAGTAAAAATACTAGGAAATGGTTAACTAAAGAATTAAAAAGTTGTAGGTTGTATACAAAAGAAAAACATGAAGATGACTAATAGCTATAATTTTTTATGATGTCCAAGAAAAAAAACTGGATTATTAAAAGCTTTTGAGGCATAAAGGGACAGATGATGATAGCTTGTTTGAGCATTGACCATGATTGTATTTGTAGAAAAAAGAAAGTAATGCAACCTTACAAGAATGGGAGAGTGGCTCAAGCTTGGGAGATAAAGCAGGTCTAACTACATTTATAATGTGTTTTTAGACTTTGTCTGAGGGTAAGCAGGTTGTTATTTATCAATATAGGAATGCCAACAATATTGCAATATTTTTTTTCAGTAAATAAATGAGCTTTGTTGTCTAACAAAAGACTTAAAATCCACAAGCCACTGCAAGCCTTAAGCTGTTACAGAAAAAAGTTTAGACTTTTTTTCAAGAGAAGAGTATTAAGTTGAGTTGTCAGGAAATAGAGCCACTTTAGATAAAACCTTGTGGTACCCTTAAAGTTACTTGGAATAAAGATGGTAGGCCTTCAAGAACAACTTTACTACTGCAGTTAAAAAAAAAAAAATTTAATAACCTTAAAACCTTTATATAAAGAAACTAATAACATAGTAAAAGATAATTGTATGATAATTAAAATAGGTCAAAGTGTTTTCTAGAGTTTTGAAAAATATGAACTACTTATTTAGCACTTTAGAAAAGTTTAGCAATAGTTGAAGAGAGTTCTGGAGAACACTTTTTAAAGTCTCTGGAACCTAACATCTGAGATAAAATGCAAGATTTAGCAAACTGAGAATAACAGAGCTTAAAGTCAGACAGGATTTTTTTACATTAGCTTTTTGCAATAATAAAAGGATATTTGCTTTTAAAAGAGATGTTCTTGTAAAAAAGATAAAAAAAAGATTATGTTTAATAAAGTAATTGCTCAAGATAGTGAAAAATGTGGAGTAGAATGAGGCTTTTCATTTACTCCACATTTTTTTTTTGTCTTCTCTTTTGGCAAATACTAATCTATATAAATACTAAAGTTTATATTACAATAAAAGAATATTTTACGCCTGCATCTAAATAAAAAGCAAACAGATATGTTTATTTCCATAATATGTATGCATAAAGTGCATCTTGGAAGCTTTTATTCCTTCGGGAATTAATGTTTGGAAGCTTTTATTGCTTCTTTTCAACTTTGA